CTCCTTATAACTTCAAAATATTGTTTAACAATAAATAAATTTTCCTGCAAGGAGAAAAGAACCTCTATAGGATGGATCTGAAAAAAAATTACGACATCAACATGACCTGGAAATAAAGTGCAACTGAACAACTGAACATATTTGTTGTGTGTAATTAGCGACAGTGCGATACAAAGTTGATTTTTGTGATCCGATACTTATATCAATAAATTAACATAAATTTGTATTGGACATCACTTTTTAATTGCTCAGATAAATGTGTTTGTAACGTTTCTGATTTGCAACTCTTTTTGTATCTTTATTCTCACTATAGCAGTTTCCTTGAGTGATTTGCCATCAGGAACTGATGAGTTAGGATGTCGTGTAAACTTTGAAAACGCCAGTGGGCAAGGCCTAAACGTGGGCATGGCGAACTACCGTAACCTGTGGGCGTGGAGCACTGCCATAATTTGTGGGCGTGGCTAGTTACCGTAGTTAAGCATGCCCCGAGGTAAGACTGTAGAAAGAATTCAGTGGAGTTGTGCGCAATGAACGCCAAAAATCGCTGATGCTTTTATCTGATGTGTTGGTAATTCGTCGTTAATTAATACCTGACAGTCATATTACTTACCTTCCAGCAAAATTTCAAAATTATTCGCATTACTAACAACATATGCTGCGGATCTTCAATTATCTCCAGTAAGATTAGAACAAGGAGGCAAATCCGTATTGAAAGATATGCTGGTCGTGCTTTGCCAAATAGCTCACTTCGATTCATTTGCATTGAAAATCTGACTGGTTCAACATGCGAGATTAAGAAATGGATGAAGTAGTAGGATTCGGAGAATCATGAATGAGAGAATCATGAATGAGAGTTAATCAGTGATATGGCTGAAGTGATTGAGAAAATGAACAAACGACAATGCATGTGCAATGTATTGTTTGAAGTCGGGTATGAGAGTGATGATATATCATGCGAATTTGATATAAAAATCATGCAGAGACTGTTACAGGAGAGTTGTGCATGGGAGTACGTAAACCGTACACATCATGTAAGCATCTATTTTGCTCAGAAGCTGTTCTCCTGTGCTCTGTTCATTCGTCACAGTCTCGATCGTCCTCTTACTTCTAATTCTAACGGTGTCTCGTCACTCTCATTCTCGATTCTCTCAGGTGCGTTATGATTTCATTATGTTTCCTAGGTTTTCTCATTCATTTCAGTTGTATCATTCGTTGCATCTCATTCATAATTCTCTCAAGAAGCTTCAGTTCACTCCCTTCGTCGCCTCACATTACCAGTAAAATTGAACTTTTAACGGAAGTAATGTGTGGCAAACGATTTGCCACAATACAACACAATTGCTAAACGATGTAGAAAATATTCAGATTTCATTTGAACTTGTTCTGTTCAGGTGGTGGAAGATTCGGACAAATTTGATGTTTTCATCGACTTCATCAATGAAAGCTATAATTAAACTGTGCACATGTGCTCGAGTGCCATCGTTCTCGTCATCACTTCAGTTGTTTTCAAGGTCAATAACATCTTTATCAAGGTATGTTCTTGTCGGATTTGTTTTTATTTTTTGAGTGATTATTTCAGAATGATTCCTACATTGTTGTATATTTTTTTGTGTAAGTCAGCAATAGAATTTTATCAAAATCGATTTATTTCCAAGAAATATTCAGCATATATTTCACTGAACATGTCCAATTATTCTGAAGATTACGAATTAAAATTCTTTTAATTCACTGATCACATCACTCTGTTTGTTCGAATCGTTCAAATATTAGAAACATGAAAAATCTTAAGTGTATGAAAATTTCAGCATTCATTCCGAAACGCCATCATCAACCTCAGACTATGCTCAGTCGTATGAGCTCAAACTGGAATCCCTCAAACCTAAGGAGACCTTTTTGAAGACGCTGAATGGCAATGAACAAAATCTAATCAAGAAACTTGTCAAGGAATTGGAGGTTTGTGTCTATATCTTTCAAAATTAAGCAATGCTGAACACCTGACGGACGTAGTTAGTGAATTCCGTATTGAAACTGTATAAATTATAAAGTGGTTTGTGTTCTTGTGGTCTTGTTGTACTCAATTTCACTAAATTTCTAAATTTGGCCCATTTCGGTTTGAAAATTCCCATGTATTTGTTTTGAATCAGAGTGCATTTGATGTGCATTCAATTCAGGTTTATCTATGGATGGCACCATCAGCTCCAGAAGTGATGTCTGATGACGATTGGCGTCGTTTACTTACACAGCCGAGTCTTTCA